GTTTACAATATTGTTATTATTTTGCTGTTCAAATTATTCCAGCTTTAAACACTGGGTGGGTCCCTTCAGGTTGGCCTCATATCTGCCCTAGCCAGTAAATGTGACACGGGTGACAGTATGCCACTTGAGGTTTCAGTCCTAGGGATTAAACCCAGAAACTCTTTGCCCCTAAGCTATATCCCCAGTCCTTTTTATTTCTTACTTTAAAACAAGGTCCTGCTAAGTTGCTAAGGTTGGCCTCAAACTTATAATCCTCCTTCCTTAGGCTCTATAAGTAGATGGTATTACAGATGTGTGCCACCATGCCTGGCTTTACAGGTTTAAGTCATAAGAATGCTAGAAAGCTTTCACTCATGGGAGCCCTAAGAAGTTCAACTACCCTGCAGAAACATGCAGAGAGGCAGAGACTCAAGGACTACATGGAGGATAAGGCCCAGTACCCAGCTGATCCCAGCCTTCCAGCCAACCCACTAAGACACCAAATGTGTGAGGAAATAAATATTGAGTCCCCAAATGACTGCAGTCTAAGTGAGATCTGTAACTCAGAGCACAGGAACCACTTAGCTAATGCAGGTAACACAAAGAATTGGGTGAGATTAACATGGTTGCTCTTCTAAACCACCAGGTTTTAGGTTAGTTGTGCAGTAATCAGTAATGAGTAATCAGAACCCTTTCAACATATGGTACCTTCTCTCTTCAGAGTTCTTAATGACAAAAGCACACTCCCCATCATCCATGTGCTTACCTGCCACATCAAACCAGTTACCAAGGTTGACTGATTCCTCCTCTGCCAACTCTCCCCTCACTCTTACCAGCTGAGACACTAGGACAATGGCAAAAGCCTCCTGACACAGTCTATAAAGACCACTGCCCAATGTCCTACTCTGCTTCATCTATTACTCCCAAAATGAGCTCTATATACACAAGGTTGAGTCATTTTTTTGTTCAGTTATTATTTATTGAGCCTCTAAGATGTGATAGGCACTGTTGCAAATACTGGGCATATGGAAGTGAACACAGACAAAAATTCCTTCTTCAATGAAATTAAAATCTAAAGGGGAAAGATGGGCACATGAAATAAATCAATAAAACACAGTTTATCAGTAAGTGATGAGTGACTTGAAGAGAAGTAGAGCATAGAAGAAAAGCAGTAACAGATGTAGGACCAAACGAATTAAAACAAAATAAAAAAAAATTTGTAAAAATGGGGCCACTTTCAAATTTTGAAATTTTAAATAGGGTGATTACGGAAGGAGTTTCTGAAATGATTGAGTAAAATATCTGAAGAATGTAAGGGAGTAAACATATTAGACAAGTGCAAAGACCCTGATGAAAGAGCCAGGCTGGCAAGCGAAGGAACAGATAGATGGTTCACTATATTTGATGTGGTATGACTGAGATGGAGTGGTGGAGATGAAGTCCAAAGTCCAAACTTGTAGGATACTTGTTTTTAACCTTGGTTGGAATAAAAAGCTACTGCAGAGTTTTGAGCAAATGCATGTCATGATTTGATTTGTATTTGAAAGCTCCTTGTGGCTGCTGTACTAAAATCTTTGGGGGGTTGGTGGGGGGTAGTCAAGAGACCACTTGAAGGCAACGATCCAAGTGCACCCTTACAATGACTATGGTGGAAGCAGCAGGGGCTGGAGATTGTTAGAGCTCAGACTTGCTTATTATAGAGTTTGTAAGAGCAAGAAATACATTGAGGATGACTGCAAGGTTTTGAGCCTGAGCAATCTGCCAGATCTCAGACAATCTGTCAAGTTACCATGCAATCTACAAGGAGTTTCCAGGTCTCTGCTTCCTTTTAAAGAACTATCTGTACCTCACTAGGGTGCAGCATGTTTGGGGTGGTGATTGGAATTTATTATTGGATACATTAAATTTGGGTTGTCCATGAGACATCCAAGTGGAACTGTGAGGTAGACAGTAGAAGACTAAGATGTGGAGTTGAAGGTAGAGATGTAGGCTGAACCTCAGAGAGATGACATCTAAAGCCTTGAGATTTGACAGTATCAGCAATAAGAGAACACACTTAGAGAAGACAAGAACTGAACACAATAGAGGCTTAAAAGTAGAGAAGGAACCAGCAAAAGGGACAGAAGAAGAGTACTCTCTGGAAACCAAGAGCAACTGTGTGAAAGGATATTTTAAAGAGGAAGTAAGGAACTATGTAAAGTGTTGCTCAGAACTGACCATGGTATTTAGTCACAGAGAGAATAATGGAAACATTAACAAGGTTATTTTTGATAAGTAGGACCAAAAAAGCTTTATTGTAGTGTGTTTGAGAGATGACAGAAGGATAGAAATGGAGACAGCAAAATAGAGATAATTTTTTTCAAGGAGTTCAACTTTAATGGAAGCAAATGCACAGGGCAAGGAAGTGGAGAATAGACAAAAGAATAAGGTGGTATAGTATGATGACATAGAAAAGGAAAAGGAATCGAGGAGTATGCATGGGTGGAACCAAAGGATGCAATTGCCATCAAATCAAAAGTAAGTTTGGAAAGAACAGGAAAACTGAGAGGCCCAGGTTGTGTCACGAAGTAGAAGTTACTGTAAGAGTAGAGACAGGCAGAGACAGGGTAAACCATCAAGAATTCCAGATACTTCTCTCTCTCCTGCTTCTCACCAGGGCTGTTTTAACTGGGGGAAAAAGACAACTGGGGAAAATTAAATATGGACTGGGTATTAAATATTAATAATCATTAATTTTATAAGGTGTAACAATGAAATTATACATGTTAAAATTATAAACATCAAAATAAAATTATACATATGTATATACAACCTTATGTGTTAGAGATGTCTTCTCAAGTTATTTGCAGGTGAATTGATAAAACTGGAATTTGCTGTAAACTACTCTAGCATGGAAAAAAATAAATAAGGGCACTGGAAGACACAAGAACTAAACACTGACAATTCCTTTTTTTTTTTTTTTTTTTTTTGGTGGTGGTGCTGAGGATTGAACGAACCCACGGCCTTGTGCATGCAAGGCAAACACTCTACCAACTGAGCTATATCCCCAGCCCCAGAAACGCTGACAATGTCACAGCACCAGAGAACCCGTGGAAATGAGAAGCCTGAAAAATGCTGAGAGGAGAAACGTAAGGAGTTATGAATGAGGACACTAGATTGGACTATCTGTGAAAACTGTCTCCCTTACAACAGGCCTGTTTTCCTATAGGAACCAGCTGGGTCTCTGATCGTAGATGACAATAGATGGCAAAGTTGAACAAAAGAAACCTACTCACAAACTGAGATGCAAAAGGTTAAGTGGCACTGACCTGAAGCTGAGCAGTCAGGAGCCCAGGAGTCCTTCCTTTCCCCACCAGGCAGTCTTCTCTAGGCAGCCAGGGGTCATATGAGGCAGAACAAGAATAAAAAGCATTCAGGAAAGTTGGTGGAAATCCTTAAGCTGCAACAGGGTAGCACCACCTCTTCCTTAAAAGTATCAAGAATGGACCTGCTACAGAAGGAAAGAAGAATTATGAGCAGCTTCCCAAGAACAGAGCTGAGATATTAGTCTAACAACCTGCCCTGACAAAATGTTGGCACCAAGCATGAAGTGTTCCTTTCTACTACTATTAATGAAAGGTAAAACTTACAGAGCACTTAGTGTATACCAGAGTCTATTCCAGTTATTATATGAGTTTTATCTCATTCTATCCTCACAACATCCCAATGAAGTAGATGGTATTACCATTTTGCAGATGAAAAAAACTGAAGCCCAGTGAGATCAGTCTCTTGCCCAAGGTGACAAAACTATAAAGTGACAGCCTGTAGAAATCAGACTGCGGAGACCAGGTTGTAAGAACTCTCAGTGTGTTCAACTTTGAGATGAATTACCTTTGGTCATGTAGAAGTTAAGTGCTAAATCTGGATGACAAGTCTGTGGAGTTCTGTTTCTGGCTATTCGAAATTTCTCCATAATAAATCTTTAAAATGTTGTGATTTTTATTGTCAGTGAAAAACTTGCCAAATGGGTCCCAGCTCAACCTCCTCCTCCAAGGCGAATTGGAAGCCTATGATCACGCCACTGTGGCCACTCCACAATCGGTCAAACCTGGACGTGTTTGGCAAAGCCGAGGGGTGATTGGATCCGAAGGCCACCACCAGCCCCCAAACGACCCAAAGCCTGGGAACGCTGGGCCCTAGAGACAATTCCTACCCACCACTTAGGAAGTATCAGACCCTGAAAAGCCTACTTACTCAACCCCACCGAAACGATTATGGCATCAGCAATCTCTTCTTCCAATACCGGGATCCCAACCAAGGCCACCACCCACAAGAACCCCAGGACAGAAGGTCAGAGCCCTGCACCCAGCTACTACCCGGTTCGCGATTGAGGTTCACCTCACTCATTCGGAGATGCGCACCCACACTCCCAAAATAAGACATCCGGGAGAGGATGGCCTGAGCCACGCCAGCGCGTCCCCTTCTCTCCCCGCTTCCCTGCGCCATCCGCACGGTCCCCAGGCTCATCCCATAGACTATCCTTTCAGGACCTTCTTTTCCGGGCAGAAAAGAGCACCGCCACTGCAAGAGTCCCTAGGTAATCTCACTCACCAGCGCCACCAAAGAACAAGGGGTCTCTCCAGCCACCAGCTGGGGCTCTTCTTCATCAGGGCGTCGGGACTACACCACCCAGAATCCTCGGCTTGCCGGGGGCGGGGGGGGGTGGGAACCACACCTCCCAGGATGCTCAGCGCAACCAGAAGCGCGCTGACGGCCGGCAACTCTCATCCCAGTGGCCTCCAACTGGTCCGTCTCCAAGCAACGTGCGGCGGTCTTCTGGAGGAAGACCACTGTCGCACCCCACGTTTTTCTTAAAGGCATGATCACAGGTCGTGCAAAAGCTCCTAAACGAGGCTTCTCCCCTTGCCGTAACTCTCCCTGAACGCCTCTGCCTCAAAGACTACACTTCCCACTGACCCTTGCAGTGACTTCCGCGTCCGGCGTCAGCGGCCATGCGACGAGCGGTAGTGACGTATCAGAGGAGCTCGATTTTTTGCTTGTGGTCCTGGCTGGCCGTTTCTGTACCAAACTTCTTCTTGGTTTATCCTTGCTGCAGCTGTGGGGTTGGAAACCTGCGCCCGTATTCCGTGAGTGCCAGGCAGGCGTAGTTTTGTCTAGCACATATATCTTTAGACGTCATTTAAGGCCGGGAAGAGGGGGAGCGGTCTCCCCAAGGTCTCAAACCCAGTACGGGATGGATCTGAATTTGGAGCCCAGGCCCTCACACCAAAAATAGTCTCCGCAGGTGCCCTAATACCTTTTTCATCTTAATGGGGTCTGCGAAATTACAAACTCTTCTGGAGGACAGGAGCCCCACTCTTAGGCCATACCTTAGGGCAGAGCGCGCTGCTGGCCTTATTCTCTGGATCTTTTCAGAATCTTGGTTGAGAACAGGCCTATGCCCCAATTTGGGAGCAAAAGAGGAATCCTCATCATTCATGAGAGGGCTTTAACGTCTGGGCACCCACTCACTTCTTGTCTTCTTAAAATATGCTTTTTGACACTTCGTCCTTCTCTAGGCAATGACCATGTGGTCCTAGAGCCAAGGAAAGGTGAGAATTTCTTCAAATTCCTTCTTACCTCTTGGAGAATGAATCCATTCCCATTTTTTTTTCTGAGGCTGCATTGTTTGTTGTGAATTCCGTTCCATCTTAGCTCACAAGGGCCCGGTCTTACTGGGCCCATTCTTGGACATCCTCTGTCCCACCCATGACTCTTCATTCCCAACAAGTTAGCTGGGGGTTCAAAGTAACATGCAAGAACACACCTTTCTTTAAGTATCTAGTGATGCTTGCTGTACAGGAAAAGTATGAACGACCGAGATCTTATGGGCCTGGAGATGAGAGACTGGGTGAGACTTCCGGATGAGCGACTGTCTGAGCTGCCTGGAAGAAGAGGTAGGCAAGAAGAGTTGGAGCATAACACGTTAGTGAGAAGAGTAGGCTATGATCTAATCTCATGGCCTGAACTACCGACAAGACTGTAACCACAGTGAAAAAGGTTTTCATTTACAAATGATCTTGCATCAGGCTGATTTTCCATGCTTATGGGCAAGGATATTGTCTAGATATCGATTTGTAGCATACAGGTGTTTTGCCATAATAATCAGGGCTTTCCATCCTGAAATCTAGAGTCCCTCCTGTATAAAACACTTCTTTTTCTCATAATACATCCACTCCACCTACCCCCAATCTCATTTACCTTACATGCTTTTTCTCCTCTAAATTCTGTCCATCCTTCAAGATGAAATCCTTTTCTTTTCATGAAGCTTTTCCAGATCACTCTATCTTGAAGGGACTTACTGAGATTATTCTGACCCTGGCTATACCTGGAAGCTTTCATTTATTTATTTTTGCAGTACTGGGGATTGAATCCAGGACCTTATGCATTATGGGCAAGCACTTTACCCCTGGCTGTACCCCCAGCCCTTTTTATTTTTTTAGAGAGAGGGAGAGAATTTTTTAATATTTATTTTTTAGTTTTCAGTGGACATAACATTTTTATTTGTATGTGGTGCTGAGGATCGAACCCAGTGCCGTGCGCATGCCAGGCAAGCACGCTACCGCTTGAGCCACATCCCCAGCCCCCTTTTTATTTTATTTTGAGACAGAGTCTTGCTAAATTGCCCAGGGTAGCCTCAAACTTGCGATCCTTCTCCCTCATCCTCCCTAGTAACTGGGATGAGGTGTGTGCTGTTATACCCAGCTATGCTTGGGGCCTTTTATAAAAGCAGTGCCTTGCCAAGTGTGGTAGCACACACCTGTAATCCCAGTGACTTGGGAGGCTGATATCGGAGGATCACGAGTTCAAACCCAGCCTCAGAAACTTAGTGAGGCCCTAAGCAACTCAGGGAGACTCTGTCTAATAAAATACAAAAAAGGGCTGGCGATGTGGCTCAGTGGTTAAGTGCCCCTGGGTTCAATCACTGGAGATATATATATATATATATATTCTCACACACACACATATATATATGAATATATGAATGCATGCATTGCCTGAACATCACCCTAAGCAATTATGAATTTGGAGCAGAGCCCTGACATCCATTATTCATAACAAATTTGTTTTTATTCTTATGATGCAGTAATGAGGAAAGATCCCGTTTTAGAAATCTGAAGTTTAACTATTGGTTAGTTGTTGCTATAGCTGAACAGTTTATCTGAGTAGGTAATTTAATCTGGAGCTTCTCAAACATGCATATATATCAACTGGAATCTTGTAAAACACAAACTTATAAATCAGCATGTCTGGCCAGGCACAGTGGCACATATCTGTAATACCAGCAGCCTCAGAGGCTAAGGCAGGAGGAACTCGAGTTCAAGGCCAGCCTCTGCAATGGAGAGATGCTAAGCAATTCAGTGAAACCCTGTAAATAAAATACAAAATGGGACTGGGAGTGTGACTCAGTGGCCAAGTACTCCTGAGTTCAAACTCCTGTACCCTCCCCTTACAAAAAACAAATCAGCATGTCTGAGTAGAGCCTAGGCATCATCATTTATGGAATGCTTCCTTGCTTGTCCTCAGACCAAAATAGGTAGCAAAGATTTAATTCAACCAGGGCCTCAGATCCTTTAATATACATAGCTGGATTAATGAATCTTCAAATTCCTAAAATTCAGACTAGGATTTCGTATGTTTTATATTCATGTGTCTTTTTCTTAAAATGCCTCAAGTTTAAGAATTCTGTATTTACTTGTAATCTAGATACTGGCCAGACTTGGATCTACATGGTAGAAAAATGACAGGAGTTGGATAGAGACCAGAGCTAACAGTCTTGAAATACAAACACGAGGGTTAGAATCAAAAGAAAGATCCAAACTTTTTACTTAACATTCCCCAAGGCACCACTCTTAAACTGCCTCATTTTGAACCATGGGCGAGAGTGCAGCAGAGTGAATAGAGCTGTGTTCAGCATAACAGGTTTTCGTTGTGTTGAGGGATGTGGCTGTGGATCTCATGTGGGAAAAGTGGAGCCTGTAGAATCCTTAAAAGGATCTGAACATGCCAGGCACTGTGGTGTACATCTGTAATCCCAGCAGCATGGGAAGCTAAGGCAGCAGGATCTCGAGTTCAAAGCCAGCCTCAGTAAAAGCAAGGTTCTAAGCAACTCAGTGAGACCTGTCTCTAAATAAAATACAAAATAGGGCTGGGGATGTGGCTCAGTGGTCAAGTGCCCCTGAGTTCAATCCCCAGTACCAAAAAAAAAAAAAAACCAAACCTGTACAGGGAAGTGATGGAGAACCATAGCCACTGATCTTACTGGGTGATGATGATGGCTTCTGTTAAAACTTAAAATCTGATCCACTGAACAACTTAAACCCCTTGTGCTGAAAAGGTAGTGCATAAAGCAGCTGCCAGACATAACTGAATTAGGATTCAACTTGAAAACAAAGACATGCTTTTCCACATTCTCCCAGGGAAGGTCTGGAATTTGTGTGTGTGTGTGTGTGTGTGTGTGTGTGTGTGTGTGTGTACAGTTGACAATAGGTACATAGATGTGTGTGTGTGCATGCATGCCTGCATATACTATTTTTCAGGCCTTTTCCCCCAGCTGGGTTTTCTTAGGTAATCTTGATTCAAGTGGAAGATTTTTGTTCACCCAGTAAGGAGTAGATTCGGTGTGCTCTCTTGCTAATCTGAGGCTCCCTTCCCTTTCCACTGCTAGAGCTCACCCTTCTGAGGTCTTTCTTGCTGCACTCTGGACACCTCTACCCTGAAATGGTACCATAAGTACATAACCTACAATTGCCTCATTGTATTTCTCTATGAACAGAAATTTCACTTGTCTGAACCCAAACTTCTCACTCAGCTGGAGCTGTCCAGAAGTTACCTTAGGCCCCTATCTAGGTGAAGGGGAGCTCAATCCAGTGACACAGCAGTCAGCAGGTAACACATTGAGGTATGGAGGAGAAAGCTGTTCTCTTGGCATCCTCTTGGCTATTCTCTTGGCTGCTATTTACACTGCTCAGCCCTATAACTTAGTCTGCCATAACAAAATACCATAGGTTGGGTGGCTTAAGTGATAGAAATTTATCTTCTCACAGCTCTGGAGGCTGGAAGTCTGAAATAAGAGTTTAAGTATGGTTGGGTTCTGGTGAGGGCCCTCTTCCTGACATGCAGTTGGCCATCTTCTTGCTATACCCTCTTATGGTACAGAGAAAGGTTCTTCACTCTCTGGTGTCTTTTATAAGGCACTAATCCATCCCATCATGAAGGCCCATTCTCATGACCTAATCAAAATCTAATTGTCTTCATAGGCTCCATTTTCAAATTTTGTAGCATAGGAAGTTAAGCTTCTAAGTAGGACTTTTGGGTGATCATAATTCAATCCATAGCATCTTGCTTCCTTTCTAAGCTTTCATCTTTAACCAAGAGAAGATTTTGTGGTCTACTGTGTCCCCTTCCTCCATTGGGAAACTGCCCTTTCTGTTACTACTTGACCTCTCTAGCTTATACTCTATTTATATACTTCAGTCTCCCTAATCTTAAAGGTTCACAAACTTTGGGTGCCAAAGATTGCCCAAGAAATTGTATTGAGTGTCTATCCCACCTGTGTTCTGATCCAAAAGTTTGGACTTGGGATATCTGGTCCCAATTATTTGTGATTATAGGTAAATTACTTGCCTGCTCAAAGTTGGTCAAGATCATGGTTTTCAGTTATAAAAATAAAAGTGAAACTTTACTACTGTGACTTATGAAGAATTAATAATTTCTGGTTTCTTGAAATTCTTGGATCATTAAATAATTTTATATTAAAAAAATTATTTTTTAGTATCAGGAATTGAATCCAGGGCACTTAACCACTGAGCCACATCCCCAGCCCTTTTATTTTTTATTTTGAGGCAGGGTCTCACTAAGTTGCTGAGGCTGGCTTTGAACTTGTGAAACTCTTGCCTATGCTTTCTGAGCAGATGGGATTACAGGGGTGTGCCATCACACCTAGCAACAGCATTAGCTTTTAAGAGTCAGCTATACTACAAGGAAATTAAGAGAAGAAAAATAAATATTTTGCCTTTACCATTTCTAGGGTTTTTTGTTCCTTTCTGTAGATCTGCATTTCCATCTGGCATTAATTTCCTGTTGCTATAAGAACATATTTTTGCCTTTTTTTTTTTTTTTTTTTGGCAGTTTGTAATGTGCGTTTGATGGCAATAAATTCTACATTGATTTGTCTGGGAATCTTTATTTTGCCTTCATTTATGAAGATTATTTTTGTTGGATATTGAGTTTAAATGACAGATGTTCCTTTAGCGCTTTAAAAGATGTGTTCCCTTTTAATTTTAGCCTCCATTTTTTCTCACTGGAAGTTAGCTGTATACTGCTGTTCCCTGTACTTTGTCTCTGGCTGCTCTTCAAGTTTTTCTTTGTCTTCCAGCAATTTGATGTTGATATGTCTAAATTATTTGTTGTTGTTAATATTTATCCAGTTTGAGGTTATTGAAATTCTCCAATCTGTAAACCAATGTTTTTCATTATATTTGGGAACTTTGGCTCTCATACCTATAAATAATTTTTCAGTCTCTTTCTCAATTTCTTCTTCTTTTGGATCTCCAATTATTGCATATGTTGGACCATCTGGTATTATCCCATAGTTCATGGGTCTCTGTCTAACTGTCTTCAGGTTTGTAAATTTCTTCAGGAAGTTTAATTTCTGGATGATTATTTTGCATTTGTGTAGGCTTTATGTTTATTAGGGTAGATTTTGAAAGCTGCAGGTGTTTACCAACTCCTCTACTTTGGCAGGACTCAAACTCCAGTTCTTGGACCCATGCAGATATTTTTGACTCTTTTTATTAGAGTGTATCTACAAGACCTACTATAAGATATAGTCCATATTCCTATGGCCTCTCTGGTTTCTCAGCTGAATGATCAAGGTGTTAATGATGTCTGTGAGTTTGAGGTGAGCTAAAATTTCTACAGTTGCCATCGCTGCCCAACCTCCAGTATTTCCATTCTTCATTTAACTCCATAACAGCTGTTTTCTGATAATCATTGCATAGTACAAGTAAAGCCCCATTAGCCAAGAAGGAGCTCTGGCCCCTCTGTACAATTGCTTCCTTTCTGAGATTTATCTTATAAATTCCATCTGTTTTACTGTTCCCAAAGTTGTCTGTCTCCTCATCAGCAGGACCAATATATTCTGGCCTCACCATTCTATATCATAACCAGTAAATTGTTCCAGTTAGCCAGCGAAAATATAAGACACACCTTGTGAGTTTCCTATCTCCTGAGGATCAGTTTTGTGCCACCTGTGGTCCAAAGTACAAAAATAGTTGCTTTATGGTTTCTCTTGGATTATGGTTATTTACAATGGAAATAATAGTCTGGTACCAGTTACTCTATCTCAGCCAGTAGAACCAATTCATTTCATAACTACTTTAAATCACAAAAATATATTTTTCTGACCATTCTAATTCTAGAGCTAATCCTTATTTAGGTAACTGCCATCATTTGTATTTGAAATGTCCCTCAAAGACTTACGTGTTGAAAGCTTAGTCCTGGATGTAGCAATGTTTAGATTTGGGGCTTTGGGGAGTGATTGGATCATAAGGACTCTTACCTCATCAGTGAACTAATCCACTGATGGGTTTATAATTGAAGGAACTATTGGGAGTTGCTGGAAACTGTAGGAGGCAGGGCCTACTTTAAGGAAATAGGTCCTTGGAGGCATGCCCTGGAAGGGTATATCTTGTTCCTGATCCCTTGCTTTCTCTCCTTGCTTTCTAGCTGTTATGAAGTGAGTAACTCTGCTCCACCATGTGCTCCCCACCATGATGTTCTGCCTCACAAAAGGCCCAAAAAGATGGGGTCAAGTGACCTTGTACTGAAAATTCTGAAACCATGAACCAAATAAATCTTTTCTTCTTTAAATGATTTTCTCAGGTATTTTGTCACAGTGACAAAAATATGATTAACAACTAATTTGTTAGCATCAACAAGGCCCCAGGTGCACAAGTAACTCTGAGTTGTTGAATTTGTATTCTTTGTCTAGAATACCAGCAAGGTACCTTTTATTAAAACATCCTACAAAAATAAAAAAATTAGGTACCATTATGACAAGGTTCATCCATAAAAAAAGAAGATATATTTCTGTTTGATTTACAAAATATACCTCACTCACAATTGAATAGTCAGTATTCAATTTTGAGGTAAAGTAAAATTAGTTTAATAGGTTTAAAATTTTAAAAGTATATGATTGAGGGGCTGGGGATGTGGCTCAAGCGGTAGCACGCTCGCCTGGCATGCGTGCGGCCCGGGTTCGATCCTCAGCACCACATACAAACAAAGATGTTGTGTCCGCCGAGAACTGAAAAATAAATATTAAAAAAAAAAAAGTATATGATTGATATTAATGTTCTTGGAAATTCTGATGCTACAGGGCTTGGCACACATAATTGTGCTGATGTTAATTTGTAGATGTAACTACACACTTTACATTCAACTAGTTATTCAGTGCCCTCATGCTGGTTAAATTAATTACACCTTTACACCACAATTATAGGCATATTTTCTTATTTTTGGCTCCCTGACATCTGTTTGTATCCCTCCCAGCTTAATGATTATTCATGCCAAGATATGAGTACTACACAGAGTCAGTCTTGGAGAAAGGAGGGAATCTGCCCCTGAGGAATGGATTTATGTCATTATTTCGTTTAATATGTGTACACCATTTAGTGAGTTCGCAGATGACTTAACCCTCTCTCAGCAGTGTGCCTGTTGAAGTGCAGAGTTGGAGACATTGGTTTCCATTGTTTTATGCCCGTAGTTTTGAGTGCAGGAATTTAACGGGATACATTTCTTTTTCTAGTTTGTCTTTTGGTGCTGTAGGGATTGAACTCAGGTCCTTGTGCATGCTAAGCACATATTCTATCAGTGAACTACCCACCATTCCAGGCCCAGTAGGCTGTTTGAAAGCTATCCCCTACCATGTCAAGCATGGCTCATATATTTTGTGTCTACTATACAAACCCAACAAAACTTTAAATCATGTGCTGCAAAAGATGCTAGACAAAAGAATTGTTTTGGAATATTTATTGACCCATCACTTATGTGCTGGCTATCACTTCTGGTTGTATTTGGGTAAATGCTTCCGATTTTCTTTTACATGACTTAGTTCAGCCAAATGAGAAGCTGATCGAAGAATTCTATACAAATATTAGTTATGTTATTTTTGTCCTTGCCCCTAATTGTTACTGCTGACAAATATGTCATTATAACAGGGTATTAATACTTTGGCAAAGATGCCAACCCATTAGTAGAAACCGCAGAGGATTCTGTAGCAAAAGGAAATTGAGGTGACTCTAATAAAATCCAATAAATTCTAGAGACAGATATTGAAAACAGTCTGGTGGTGGAGAACTAAGAACTGAGAATTTGGTTGTTACTTGTAGAAATATTTGCTTTCATTTTAGGAAAAGACCAAAAGAAGAGACAATAAAAGGAAAATACTTCCTCTACAGCATCACTTGCTTAGAGGTTAATAAAACAATGCTATCTCCCTTCATCTGTACCTGTTAAGAACTGTGAGCTTTGGGCTGGGGATGTGGCTCAAGCGGTAGCGTGCTCACCTGGCATGCGTGTGGCCCGGGTTCGATCCTCAGCACCACATACAAACAAAGATGTTGTGTCCGCCGAAAAAATAAATATTAAAAAATTCTCTCTCTCTCTCTCTCCCTCCCTCCTTCCCTCCCTCCCTCTCTCTTTAAAAAAAAAAAAAAGAACTGTGAGCTTTGGATGACCCTAATAAGCAAAACTTTGGGGGTTCTAGCTGAAGAATTTTCCTGGCCTCTGATAAATGGAACATCTTACTCTTGTAGAAACAATTCTATGGATTCGTTTGATCTACCCAGTGGGCTAGCTTTCAATCCTTAATGAACACACAGCCATAATGAAATGTTCCACTTCTAGCATTTTAAAATACCCCAATGAACAATTCAAGAAACCTTTTTAGTGATGTGTGTAATAAATTTAACCTATTCTATATAAACTGGAATTTGAATCAACAAATCCATTGTATTAAATGATTTTTATTATTGATAGAAAGAATTTTAAATGTAAAAATATGCAAAGTCATCAACCCAGGTTACAAAAATAAAAAAATACAAAAGCATAAATGAACATACTAGAAAACGGTAAAATTATGATAATACTTGGGAAGCAGTTAGAGTACCTGGCACAAGTGAGAACTCAGTACCTGTTAGGTAGGCTTCATTACTGTCACGTCTACCTTTTCCAACCACATTCCAGTCTCATCTTTCCAGTTAGTTTCTCACAAAGTATTGTACTTTTGTTACTGATAGTATGGTTTACTTCTGCTTAAAGAAACAGGCCATGAAATAGGTTATTTCTACATTGATTTTTTTTTCATTTTTATTTCTATGCATAGTTTTTAAATTTGGAAACAAATATATTTTCATAAACTTTAGGCCTTTTATTTGGAAATAATTTCAAACTCAATGGAAAGTTGCAAAAGTAGAACACAGAACACCAGAACTCACCTTCCTCATTTCACCTGTTAAACTTTTTGCCCCAAGATTTTTTATTTGCCCAAGTGGGGAAACTTTCTCGCTCCTTCACTTTTGCTCTGTTACACACACATATATATATATTGTCATTTGAAAGTAAGTTGCATGCATCATGGGCCCTTTTTTATATGCCAAATATGTGTTTCTTCAGAATAAATATACTGGATAGAGTACTTGCTTGGCAAGCATGAAGCCCTGGGTCCAATGCCATCACCACAAACAAATGAAAAAAAAAAAGGACTTTCTCTTACTGAGCACAGTAGGGTAATCAGGTTCAATTAGTTGAACGTTGGTACACTGACATAATATTTTTACATACCTTATCATCCACATTCCAGTTTGACAATTGATCTGATCATGTGTTTTATAACATTTCCTCCTTTCTTACAGGTTCCAGCCTAGGATTAGGTCTAGTTGTCATGTCTCTGGTCTTGTAGAATTTTTCCATTTTGTTTTGATTTTATCTTTTATGTCATGTTTGAGAAAAGGGTCCTTTTTGGTAGTTGAACATTTCTTTTGGGGGATTTATGTAAAGTTTCCACATGATTAGGTTCAGATTTTGCCTTGCTAGTCCTATTTACATAAATGAAGTTTTATTCTTCTTAAGATGTCATATTTGGTAGTGCCCAATTTCTGCCTCATATAGTTACTGGTTTTCCTATGGTACCTTTCTGGAGCGAGCGATGCTTTAAGTCATGCCTCAATTAGTGATTCCTGCCTAAACCAGTTTACTCCACTGGTCACAAAGCTGAGTTCCCATATCAGTATTCCCTTCATATTTTCCAGTTGACAATAGGCATTTTTTTTTTAGAATTTTTTAATATTTATTTTTTAGTTTTCGGCAGACACAACATCTTTGTTTATATGTGGTGCTGAGGATTGAACCCGGGCTGCACGCATGCCAGGCGAGCACGCTACCGCTTGAGCCACATCCCCAGCCCCAACAATAGGCATTTAAATAGGATTGTTTTTCTTTTTCTCTTTTTGAAATAGGATCTTGCTATAATGTCCAGACTGGTCTTGAGCTGGTAGGCTCAAGTGATCCTCCTCCCTCATTTTCCTATATAGCTGGGACTATATGCATGTACCACCATGCCCCAGCTCAGGAAGTTTTTTGGTTTTTGTTTTTAGTACCAGGGATTGAACCCAGGGAAGCTTAACCACTGAGCCACATCCCCAGCCCTTTTTACACATCTTAGAGACAGGGTATTGCTAAGTTGTTTAGAGCCTTGCTAAATTGTTGAAGCTGGCTTTGAATTTGTGATCTTCCTGCCTCAGCCTCCTGATCCACTGGGATTACAGGCATGCACTACTGTGCCTGGCTATTATTTAGTGAATCTTGACAAATGTGGACACCCATGAACCCAAACCCTTCTCTAGATATAGAACATCCCTCTAGATGGTTTCCTCATATCCCTTCCCAGTCAGTCCTCATCTTCACTGATTTAAAGGTGGATCATTAGTGATTATTGTTATAGAACGTCACATAAATGGAATTTGATCTTTTTTTTTTTTTGCGGGAGTGGGTGGGCTATGAATTTAGCAAAGAATTGCACATATTCAGCACATCTTCTAAATACCAGATTTATATCCATGAGCTAGTCAGCTTTTCCTGTGACCAAAGCACCTAACATGAACAATCTAAAGGAAGAAAGATTTATTTGGGCTCACAGTTGGCTAGAAACAGAGCAAGAGGAAGGGACTGGGGAGAACAAACCCTTCCAGGACATGTCCCCAGTGGCCTGCTTCTTCCACTAGACCCCAGCTACCAGTAGTCCATTCATCTGTCAATGGATTAATCCCCCAAATGGATTTTTCCACTAATGAAGTCAGACCTCCATTATCCAATCATTGTCTAAAAGCCCCATCTCTGAACCTAGCTGCAACTATATATAGTTGCACAAACAAACTGTAAGAATTATAGCAAATGTTTGTTTTGGTTGAGTAACAAGAAGATTGGAGGGAATGCCCTTCATACCAAGGTCACATTCAGCATACTAGACCCAGGAGCATCTGGACTCCTTGCAAGAGCAGAGTGATCCCTCCCAGCTTGGCAGATTAATTGCTTATTGCCATCAGCCCAGCCTAGGGCTCTTATTCCCCCTGGTGTCCCCAGAGTTATCTGGGAAATCTTATTAATTTTAGTTTTTCTCCAATTGGAAAGATATATTCATCTTATACAAGGATGTGCAGACTGACAAAAATACTCCCCCCTACCCAGCCCCAGTTTGGGCTATAATTATATATTTATAATAGCTAACATTTTCAGCATCTTTATAATGTATCAATAAAATGTTTTAGATCCTCCACCCCAGTTCTGGGGATTGAACCCAGGGGCTTTCTATA